GGTTTGCCCTTTCATGGCCCCTTTGCGTTTTCTTTAAACTGCCCTCATCCCTGGTGTTTGTCCTCTTTCTCCATTCAGTATATTTCCACATTTTCTGGTTTTAGAGGGTAGAGAGTGACTGGAACTAATCCCACTGACTCTCCTTTCAGAAAGATTAAGCCCTAATGATGATCAATGTTCCCTGATTGGTGAGGTGTTTTCGTGTAGGCACTGCATTTAGCTGCTTTTGAGCCTGGCTCCTGACTACAAGGTCAGTAGTTTGAATTGCTGCTCCTGTAAAGATTTACAGCCTCAGAAACCCTTTACAGGCCCACAGCCATCACCACCACCCACCCTCACAGTAACGTGTCAAAGCAGCCATTGTTGTTGGTTGATAGAGTCTTATCGACCCTGAATTGGGTTTCCAAGGAGCGGCTTGGTGACTTTGAACCGCCGACCTTGTGGTCACACCACACCAGGCCTCCATAACAGATTTATATATCCAATTTGAAGCTCACGGAAGTGGAGGGACCAACCCATCCCAGTGTAGTCCACCACCAGCGAGCTGACAACTTTGGAAGTGTCTGCCAGCTGATGAGCAAACTTTTTAATGGAAAATACTGCTCTCGATTATGAAGAGGACTGGAAGGATGATGATTTTTACTAACTCCATTCACGAATACAGCTAATTGAACCAAATGGAATCAATCTGATTTTCTGTTCCAGGAACTTGGATTGGGCAACCTCAGTCTGTCTCATGCCTGGGAAGTAGAGAAACCTGGTCTCTGCTGCTGATAGAGTAGTGAGCAAATGCACCAAGAGAAGCAGAACCCTGCCATGGAAAGCTTGCTGACAATTTCCAGCCCTGGTTCTAGTTTCTTCTCAAGATCCAGCTATGCACAGAATAAATTCCTGTCAGCTAACTCAAGTTGTTCAGAGTTTTGTTAATATCCTATCAGAAAAAGAGCCACATCCTAGGTTTGATTACTTGGACTTCCAATCCCTTTCACTATACACCTTTTCTTGACTGCTGCAAGGAAGTGCCCACAAGTCCTTGCCTACTCCCCCTTTCTCGGTTTACTTCGTTCTACAGTATCCTCCTCACCAGTTGTTCAACCCCCCTTCTCCAGACACAATCTTTTTTGCACAGTTGACAGTTGAGAGAAGATCGGGGTTCAGCAGTTCTGAAAGGGAGGAAGAGAGGATCTGTGAGTGCACAGAAGACGGTCCCAAAGACTGTGGCAGAAACTGGCCCACCCTCCCAGGTATATCTTACCCAGAAATCGAGCATTTCTAATTTAGGTAAGGCTTCCCTTCCAGA